AAACTAGGCATTTGTTGCATCCAGTGGGGACATAATTACTGATTATAATGACTTATACTGTCTTTTTACGCGTTGTGTTGTGTTGCATCGCGCCGCGTAAACACAAAACCATGTCTGCATTTGTGATCGGAGAAATGACAAACAACAAGTGCTACTCTACTGCCCAAAACTGGCGTTTGAATCATCAGTGGCAACGAAAAACACAGCGGCCTAGCGTGAGGGGAAGCCCCGGCTTAGCGTGAGCTGAGGCGGCGGGGTCGAGAACGGCGGTCCTGGCGAAGGAGCGGTGAAAACGGTGAAAGCCGTTCCGGCGATCCACACCGCGAAGTTTTTGTATTTCCTCAGCGACCAGCACGGATCAGCTCTAGGCATGACGAAGCGGATATCGTCCTCTTTTGGAAGGCCAAACAAAGTAGTTTCGCTTTCACAACGAAGCACACAGCGCCTTCACGACATGGCAACAGCAACAATACTACAGCGAGAATAAAAGTTACGCCCTTTTTTTTTGCGTGAACATTTGGGTGGCGTTATGCAAATTTTCCCACATCGTGATGTAGACATGTTGGGGGCATGTTAGAACGAGCCGTTTTAGGTAGGCGTGGTTGACTCTTAACTTTTATAAAGAATATCTCTTTGGATTTCGACTTTAGTCTTTACAACTTTACAGATCTTCTTTATGCACCAAGAGCGTGTAACACTCCAAAGAGAAAGGAAAAATTTTAATCGCATCATATGACCCCTTTAAAGAATCACAAGAATCTCCTGTACAATTGAGGACTGAACCAGTGAGAATTAAATAAAGTTCTGTGAATTTGGAACGTAAATAGCCTAGGACTGAAATGAGATATTGACACAAGATCTTCCATCTATATAATTATGTAAATGTCACCATAAAGGAGTTTGTTTGAAACACAGTGGCTTTGTGGTTTGTTGAATTAATGTGTCACTGTGGGGTTTTAAGTTGAAATGCAGCTGTGGTAATAATATAAAATGCAAATTATAATCTTCACAAGTGAATTGTGTTTTCTCACCTCAGATTCACCCCTCAGTTAAAACTAAAACTATACAGTACAGCTAAGAAAGGTGCTCATCAAATTAGGTCAAATCCTTTAATTGTACAAAAATAGAAGGTTGTGACACTGCTACAACTATTTATTTTAAGCAGCTGTCCTGAATGAAACCTTGCGGTTTAATCTCTGTGGTATATTTAGCTCTGTCAAGACAGTATCGTGCTTTGTATGCGAACGGAAGAGACTTATCTACTTTGTTGATTTAGGACTTGATAGGATTAAGACAGTGATTAAGTGGCACGTTTCTGCTTGAAAGGATCATACTGTCTATCTATCTGTATATCTAATAAATTTTTAATAATACATTTGATAGACATTACTTTTGTCTATTATTGAATCAAATTTATTAATGTAATTTCCAAATAGCGCAGAACGTCAGGGTGTTGCCATTCAAAGGAGTATGCTTTTTTTTTTTTTTTTTAAGAAATTAAAACATTTATTTGAGAAAGATGCATTAAATTGATCAAAAGTGATAGTGAAGATATTCATAATGTAACTAAAGATTTCTATTTTAAGTGCTGTTTATTTGAACTTTGTTCAAATAAACAGAAAAGAATCCTGAAAAATGTATCATGTATCATGGTTTCCATAAAAATATTAAGCAGCACAACAGTTTTCAACAGTGTTAACAACAACAAGACATGTTTCTTGAGCACCGAAACAGCATATTAGAATGATTTCTGAAGGATCGCTTTGCCATCACAAGTATAAACTGCATTTTAAAATATATCAAAAATAGAAAACCGTCAGTGCTTTAAAGTGTACAAAAATTTTACAATATTAATATTTATACTGCATTTTTTATCAAAGACTTCTTTCAAAAAACAACTCCCAAGCCTTGGAGCCGGTAGTCGATTGTCATATGTCTTGTCAATTTGATTAGACAATGTAAGTATATTTCCTTTTGTGCTGACTGTGGCCTATTACAGCACTGTAACATTTTCATTTAGCACTTCTGAGCGCGATGAATATATATATATATATTAACTGACAGTGAATATTACTGAATTGAAAGCACATTATTGTTCAGAATCAAACCCTCGAATAATGCATCTAGTACGTGTGCTGTATTGTACTCCTCCCAAAGTGACTTTCCATAACTTCGCCGCCTCCAATTGAATATCTGCGGTTTACAACTGCCTCTCCAGCACGTACACTTGAAACAGAGCTGAGACATGAGCCAGCAGGATTTCCTCCATCTGACAAAGGAGTTAATGATTATTATTATTGTTTCTTGCAGGAAGAGAGCGAGCTGATCGTGGAGGGTTTACTCAACATCTCCTGGGGCCTGAGGAGGCCAATCAGACTGCAAATGCACGATGACAACGAGCGCTTCCGCTATGCCTGCATGAGTGCGTGGAGATCGGAGAGCTCAGAGTCCAGCAGGTGGGTGGAACCGCCTGAATGCTGCTGCTACACCACCCCCAGATGTGTCCTTTCCTTCATTAGGTCATAACTCCATCTGTTTCTCTCATTAACTCAGTCATAGACGTCTCCAGGCATGGGCCAGGATTTGATAAGTGTGTACAGCTTTTTATGGTTAAATGGCTGCTCCTTTATCATTCTCATTCAGCTCAGATTTGATCATACTGTAGAATGCTGTGTACTTTTCTTAAAAAGCCAACAAATTATTACTTTGAAATTTGATGGACTTCTGTAAAGGGGTTGATGGCGTGGTCAAGGTCATTATTAGAAAGTTTTGTTTTGAGGAACATTATGGCACATGGGTGAAACTGGGTGAAAACTGCGGTTATGTGGTGTTGATCTTTCACCAACAGAGCAACTGGTTATTCAGAGTCCTGGGCTACTTCTTATTCTCACGTGCAGTAGTCTTCTGAATCATGGAAATTTTAATCAGCTCTAATGTTGAAAGCTGCAGTGACCTTGATTTGATACTGTGAGCAAGAAGATTCAGCACGTGAGCATAAAAAGATTGTCATTGTGATTGTATTATTGTATAGCAACAACAGATACGTCAGAGTAATCAGATGTTTCTTATTCCAATGAAAGTTTCCAGTTACTCTTTTTAATAGAAAATCAATCAAGTTAAAGTAAAAATTATTTACATGAGTAAATAATTGAATTAATTAGTTCATTGTTGGCACTTTAGGGTTATTGTTGTTAACTAAATGTAAAACTAAAACCATAAATAAAACATTTTTATTACATGAAATAAAATAAAATAAAATATATTTAAAAAAAAATTTCATGTAGTTTAAATTGAGAAAAAAAAATATAGACATAAAAAACCCAAAACTTTTAAAATAACACAAACACAAAAGAAAATCACTAAAACTTTATACTAAAAGTATAAAATATAAAAAGCAAAACTAGCTCATAATATTAAGAAAAACTATAACCATATCTCAATGATACTAAAATAACAATGGCACTTTCCATGAATAATATATAAAAAGATAGAGAAAATTATAAATTTTGTATTAAATATTGATAAAATATTGTATGATATCTAAAAAAGTGTGAAATCAGATGCTTGTGTAAGATCAGTAAAGCTTATTGCTAGAAAATAAAATCACAAATGTTTAGTAACATGTCCCAATGTCCCAAATATTAATAACAAAAAGTTTCCAAACTTCATTTAAATAACAATACAGCTCATAATATGTAGTATGGTCTCTTGAGATGGAATAACTAAATTTAATGTTTTCTTCCACGAAAACTATTTTTATGAAGCTTCCATTATGTATTTTAGTTATGTGGTTATTGTTTACAGGAATGAAACTGCTGAACACCAGTTTTGTTCAGAGCCCAACAACAACAAAATCAGTGCCTCACCTATACCCAGTGAGTATGAAAATGATCCATATCATTCCACACACAGTTAGGAAAATCTTATCAAAAATGTTATTGATTCGTGTTGGAAAATGGACAACATTTGTGGTTGTTATAGATTAGAAGTTTTAACGGAACTAAATGCATATCTAGATGTTCACCACATTTCCAACACATCATTGAATGCCTCATCTTAATATTAGCCTGCCATATCTCAATGATACTAAAATAACAATGGCACTTTCCATGAATAATATATAAAAAGATAGAGAAAATTATAAATTTTGTATTAAATATTGATAAAATATTGTATGATATCTAAAAAAGTGTGAAATCAGATGCTTGTGTAAGATCAGTAAAGCTTATTGCTAGAAAATAAAATCACAAATGTTTAGTAACATGTCCCAATGTCCCAAATATTAATAACAAAAAGTTTCCAAACTTCATTTAAATAACAATACAGCTCATAATATGTAGTATGGTCTCTTGAGATGGAATAACTAAATTTAATGTTTTCTTCCACGAAAACTATTTTTATGAAGCTTCCATTATGTATTTTAGTTATGTGGTTATTGTTTACAGGAATGAAACTGCTGAACACCAGTTTTGTTCAGAGCCCAACAACAACAAAATCAGTGCCTCACCTATACCCAGTGAGTATGAAAATGATCCATATCATTCCACACACAGTTAGGAAAATCTTATCAAAAATGTTATTGATTCGTGTTGGAAAATGGACAACATTTGTGGTTGTTATAGATTAGAAGTTTTAACGGAACTAAATGCATATCTAGATGTTCACCACATTTCCAACACATCATTGAATGCCTCATCTTAATATTAGCCTGCTCGTCTCTGGTTGCTGTTCTGCTGCAGGTGTGGATGGAGCTGAGGAGGACATCCCTCAACTGCTGAGAACGAGAAGTGACGCAAGCTTTGTGAATATCCAAAGAAGATCCAAAATCCACAACACTGCCGATTCACAGAGGATAAAAAGACACCGCTTCTCCATCAACGGCCATTTTTACAACCACAAAGTAATTTAAACAAAACTTTTGTGTTAAGACGTTTTTTTCTTTAATATAATAAAAAAAGCACAGTTAACCTTAGTGCACTTGACCTTGAACTATAAAGCTTTCACCTAGAGATCAGCAGTGTAGCGTCTCAGATGGAAGGCAGGGATGAGTTGGAACTCCTCCATGCTCCAAGTTCAGGACAATAGTACAATAGTGCTCAGTGAAAGACAGCACGCCTTGTGCCTGGCAAGGGGCCTGTGCTCTCATAAAGTACCACAGCAGCATCTGTGCAAGTGTTTATGTTGTACATCAGTGTTGTGAGATGGATGCAGGTGTTGAGAGGCAGTGTTTTCCTGTGCAGGCCTTCCCCTCGGCTGCACCATGTGCTTTTATTATCGAGTGTCACCTGCCTCTCTCTCATAAATGGTCCTTAAAGGTCATATGAGTTGGCCTGGTGCTTCGATAGATAGATAGATAGATATTCTGCTTTCATTTTAATTAGTTTTAGTATTTTTGTTTTGTTTTCTCATTTTTATTAGTTATTGTTTTTTTAATATAGGTTTTTATTATTTTTATTTCAGTTGTAGTTTTACTTATTTTAGTACATTAAGTTAAACTGAATGAAATAAGAAATGTTGCTTTGGCAACTAGCTGAAATAAAATAGGTTTATGGTTTTTTTAATATTTTATTTTAATTCTACAATTGTTTATTTTATTGCTGCTCTTGTTTCCTTTTTTGTTATGGTTTTTACAGCAATTGTACACGATAATTTATTGTTACTTTATTGTGAACAAAAGTGTCTACTACTTCCTTATCTGAATGAAACAATTGTCTGTTGACAAAGATAAATTGATGACCACAGATTATATTACCTGTCATAGTAAGAACATTATATTAATTTTATTGTAGCTTATATTATTTTTTCCAAATCTCATTTGCCAAATTTTACACTAATTGTGTGTGTGCCACATCATTTAAGAAATATTACACAATTAATTATCGCTGAAATTTATCTCCTTTTTTACAGACATCAGTTTTTACTCCGTCATATGGATCGGTGACTAATGTGCGAGTGAAAAGCACTTTGACAACACAGCAAGTTCTTAACCTACTCCTTAATAAGTTTCGGGTAAGTTTTCCCTTATTCAGCTGAATACTACAATCTTTTACTTGATGTTAATTCCCTGTTCTGTACAGGTTGAGAATAAGGCAGATGAGTTTGGCCTCTACCTAGTCCATGAATCAGGGGGTGAGCCTTTTCATTCTTAACTTTACCTTATTTTTAAGAAGAGTCAACTGATCTGCAGATTATAACTATTATATTTTTCCCATCTTTTGTCTGTAGAGAGAGCAAAACTTAAGGACACAGAATATCCTTTGGTATCTCGTCTGTTACATGGTCCATGCGAAAAAATCGCCCGAATATTTATTATGGAGAAGGACCTTGGTGAAGAGATTACGTATGATGTGAGTATTTTGTACATTTTAAAGTTCACAATAGGATATTCAGAATGTGCTTCCCCTGGCAAACTAACATTCTGTTGTTCAAATATAGACACAGTAAACAATAATGTCACTTCCAGATGCTACATATCAAGTCTAATTTTAGGATCCTATCCTGGGGACTAACAATAGTACAAATATTTCTATTGCAGTCTCAACATTCGTTGTAATATGAAAATGTTGATGCAAATGTGCAGGTTCTCTGTGATATTATTGTTAATATTCAGAATACTCTCTGCTTATATCTCAGTGGTTAATGCAATAATGCATTGTCTTACAGGTTGCACAGTATATTAAGTTTGAAATGCCTGTTTTGGGCAGTTTCATCAAGAAACTGAAAGAGGAGGAAGAGCGAGAGATTTTAAAACTAACAAGAAAGTAAGTTTCACAAATATCTGTGTTCCTATAACAAAACAACAATGTATTCATTTTAATCTGTGTTGTACTTTTGTTTTTCACAGATACAGTGCACTGAGATCAATGATATTGCAAAAATTGGATGGCATCTCTAACACTGCAAATTATGCGTGAGAAAATGTCGACTGTTTAGATCAAAGGCATCCTCTCTGTTGTACAGTCAACATCAGTGATCCACAGATTGCTAGTTTTAGGTTTTTCATTTTTGGTGAAGACATGAGTGCAATAACTAGTGTATAAAAAGTAGTAATTAGCAGTGTAAGTACTTTTACCCACAATTCTCAGGCGTTACAAATTACCTAGAATGTTATTTTATGATGCACTTATGCTCTATGACTTAAAAGACAAACTACTGTATTTTTTTTTGTTAAACTTAGAACATATACACCCCTGACATGTTTACAGTAACAATATGACCTTTTATACATTTTAAAATAAAACTAATATATGAGGAATTGTGTTCATTTGGTATCACCTTTGTTTTGCTAACATATTGTACAGTGTCATGTTAGTTTTGTACTCACATATCGAATATCTAATTCATAACATCTTTAATCACTTCCAGACTTTTGACAATATTAAAAGTCAGTTTGCCATTATAGTTATATTTAAAATGGATGCATATGATCCTATTCCAATACAATCTCTTAGTGCTTAATTTCATTATCTTAAATCATTGTTTTATTGCTTGAGAAAAAATAATGTTGCGCTCGTGCTGTTTCCCTCATGTTCACAATGAGCATTTCTTATTGTTCTTTGAGTGACCCTTGCACTGAGTCAGTTCCCACGAGCTATAAAAGCTCATGGTATTGAAACTAAGACATGCAGTCAGTGCCTTCTGGCTCGAGTGCCCATGTTACACAGTGGGAGGCATCCTGGGAACAAGGAACATTACATTACTTGAGGTGGTTCCCATTTCCTGGACAAGTAGCACAAGGAGAAAAAAATTAACTTTGTGCTTGTGTTTCACTTGTCAGTCTTTTATGCCACAAAATATGTTAGATGTGATTTTTAAATAATGGTTTGAAATGTTTATTGTATTTAATAACGTGATTTGTAATGACAGCAGAAATGTAATGAAATGCATTATTATATTTATTATTTTTGAGAACAATGCAGGGCATTTTCTGGATTTAGTAAAGCTTTTAATTTACGTAGGACTACTTTTTTAGCACTATTATCTAAGGAAACCTTGGGAACCTAAGTCGCCTTTTGTACGACTTGTATGCAGTAAACGAGGATTTTGTCTGCTGTGTTTACCTTTGTAACTGGTTGGGTTGCTAACGAACAACCTGTTACCTGTTAAAAAAAACAAACAAACAAAAAACAAAACGTATGGCATCGACAAATAATAATATACTGCCCCCTTCTGGCGAGAAACAGTTATTGTGTTATTATATTATATTATTATTTAAAGGCCTAAAAGACTTAAAAGGCTGTAAAATAAATTTTGGACGTTGGGTTTACAAAATTGCTTATTATTATAAATTATGGTCAGTATAAATTCAAGACCTGTCGTTGTTTTCATAGTGTTTATAATTGACATTATTTATATATATATAAAAATGAAAAGTTCAGCCAAAAATTAATAATATAAGAAAAAGTTAAAAGAAAATATTTCATTACAAAGAGAAGGCTACGCGTATACGCGCAAACAACTGAGCATGGACATTTACCATGGTAAAATTAATATATTAATACGGAAAATAAATAGATATGCATATATGACAAATGACCGGCGTTACTTAATTGGAGGTAACATATGACGACAACATTAAAAATAATCAAATAAAAATGTTAAATTAAGTATGAAGTGTTTATGATAAGGATAAACGGAAATGACTTCCGGGCTATAGGACGTCGTCATGTGCAGTGAAAGCGGACTTGTTTACTATTTTTAGATTAATTTAACAGAGAGGAACCATGCAGACAGTCATATTTCCATAGAATGATTGAGATTATTGTCTAGGCGACGTTACATAGGCTACTCGGAGATCAAGTACAGTTCGGGGAGGAGCGTTTGTTGAAGTCCCGAGATGGTCCTCACTGCAGAACACAAGATCCAGGGGGCGAGGTTGGATCCAGATCCAACTCCTCCCATCTTATACATAAACCTACTCGTCTCCACCCCCTGATCCCTAAACCCACCCATCTCCACCCCCTAGATGTGGATCCAACCCCGCCCCCTGGATCTTTGTTCTGCAGTGAGGGGCTACTGGAAGTCCCCAGCAGAGAGAAACCTTTAGTTCGGTCCTCCGTGTTTTTTACAGTCTATGGTCGTGCACGAACCGATTCAATGGCGCTACGTTCAGCTCGTGATTCTCAGATATTTATAATCGGATGTGGCATCTCAGGAATTGGTGCCGCTCAGAAATTACATAAACACGGTTTTCATAATGTACACATCATAGAAGCAACTGCGAGAAGCGGGGGAAGAATACGAACGGGCAGACTGGGTATGTACAGGCTTATTGCGTCTGTCTGAAATCACTGATGGGGAAATTTAGCTTTTATAATTTGATTACATTTGTTTATTTTCGTCATCTTATAGGATGATAACCGTCTCTTATCATTTCATATGTATGGACTACATGAAAATTGGTTAACAGATTTCATTTACTTAGAATCTAATGATGTGTAAAATTATACTGATATTTATCCTTCAGTAGTACTCTAAAATTGTGTCTTTTGCAACTATGTAGCTGTATTCGTGGGCGGAGCTTAACTGCACTTCCGGCTGTACAAGTTGTCAAAATGGTTCTCAAACAGAGGCATCAGCAAACTTATTTAATTAATATATTGAAATTCCAGGAATGACAAAATTAAGTGTAGGAAAATAAACAGCTTTGTCATAATTGCAGTACAAATACCAGTTGAAATTACCTTATATTGGGGGCCTTTGAGTCAACAACGTTAAAAAGTACTAGTATATATTTTACAAAGGTTTTGAGTTAAAGTCCAAATTTTCCATGTGAACCCAATAAAACCACATTGGAATACGGTCAGGCAAGTGTCAACTATATGATGAAAGTACATTTTAACAGAGAGGTTGAATCATGTTCTGAGGACAAAGGTATTCTTTGTAAATGTCAGGAGCAAGTTACAAATTTATACAATTTATTAACTACAGTATTTCTTGGCCACAAATAATGGTTTGATATAATTTTTTACCTTCAATGTTTTTGCTGTTTGCTTTATATATATATATATATATATATATATATCTCTTTGTATTAATTGTTTTGTATTATACTTGTTTTACTGTTTAAATTTAGGCATATTGCCTAATTTTTAATCAATGTTCAATATTTAAAAATTTTTGTTGCCAAGACTAGAATGTACTTTGAGAAATATTCAGTACAGTAAAAAGCTAGCCATGGTATTCTCCATAGATGCATATCACATTTTTTTTTTTTTTCTATTTGTTCAAGGTGATAACATTATAGAGATTGTAGAGGCCAACTGGATCCATGGCCCATCGACGGAAAACCCAGTGTTTTGTTTGGCATGTGACAACCAGCTCCTTGACAAAGAGTCAATGTCTGAAGAAAACCAGGCCATTGATGTTGGTGGTCATCCGCTGTTTGTTCCCAACTGGTTTACCAGTTCAGGTCGGAAACTGGGGCCTGAGAAACTGGGGCCAGTGGTGGAGTTTTTCATGAAATTACTGGAAAGGAGTCAGCAGTTCCATGACAGTGGTGGAGAACCTCTGCCGAGCGTTGAGGAGTTTGTCAAGGCTGAGGTTGAACGACTGGCCCCAGAGGAGTGGAAGGAAGACCAGGCTAACATTGCAGTAAAAATGGCCAAGATAAACACACTGCTGAAGGTGGAGTGCTGTGTCAGTGGAACCCACACGATGGATGATGTAGGCCTGGGAGCCTTCGGCATGTATAAAACTCTCCCAGGATTAGATTGCACTTTCCCAAAGTCTCAGAGCCTTTCTTGTACATTTTGAAGTGTCTCAATTATCCAATTCCAAAATGCCAAATCTTGTAAAGTTTGCAAACTAAACATGTTCATGCATTCTTTTTTTCCTCCTATAGGTTATGAAGGTTTAATCGATCACATAATGAAGGAACTTCCCAAGGACATAGTCTTGTACAACAAGCCAGTGAAGTGCATTCACTGGAACTACACTAAGAATGGACCATCAGGAACATCATTTCCTGTTACGATTGAATGTGTGAATGGAGAGACATTTGCAGCAGACCATGTTATTGTCACTGTCCCACTGGGTATGTATAGATAGATAGACTTAATGTGAACGAGTGAACAATTAGCATCTAACACTTATTTGTAATTAACGTTATTGGTCTGGTAATTGCAACTAGCATAATCTGTTCACTTTAAATGCATGCGCTTTTAAGTTCATAAAAAGTACTGCTTTTTTTGTCTGATTTACAAGGTCAGATGATTGATTTAGGTCTTTCTAGTTTTCATAATATTGCTTATAACATTATTTTAAAATAATATATTTTCATATTTTTATATGAATAAAAAATATTTTTCATAATGTTGCTTCATACCTTTATTGCTACAATATCTGCAAGACCTATAACTCATCTGATGTGCTGTTTCATTACAGGGTACCTTAAGAAGCACCAGAGCACTTTTCTGAGCCCCCCTCTTCCACTGCATAAATTGCACTCTATCCAGAGAATGGGCTTTGGGACCAACAACAAGATCTTTCTTGAGTTCGAGCAGCCTTTCTGGGATGAAGACTGTGAATTGATCTACCTCGTCTGGGAGGACAAGACACATCTTGCTGATGTTGTTTCTGATGTAAAGAACTCCTGGATCAGAAAGTTAGTTGGGTTCACTGTGCTGAAGCCCACAGAGAGGTAAACATAGTCTTTAATTTTGCTTCAACTACTGCAATTTATGCCATAATAAATATGACATTTCTTTTCTGTTGTTGTGCAGATATGGGCATGTGCTCTGTGGATGGATCGCAGGACGGGAGTCTGAGTACATGGAAACTCTGTCTGAACATGAAGTTCTGCACAGTGCCACACAGCTCCTGCGCATATTTACTGGTAACATTTTTACTATGTACTAGAGGTTAACAGCTTAATAGGACATCATTTGATGGGGTCCAAAAGTCTGAGACCACACTAAAAATGTGGGATTAAAAATCTAATTTAATACCTGGAAATATACAGATCAGATCACATGTAAAAAAAAAATTAAATAAAGAAATAAATAACTTCTGAAATTTTTCATAATTTTCAGGAAATCCAACTATTACACCAAGGAAGCTTTTAAGATCTCAGTGGTTCCATGAACCCTATTCCTGTGGATCTTACACCTATGTGGCCAAAGGTTGCTCAGGATATGACATAGATAACCTTGCTGAACCCTTGCCGCTGAAAGGCTCAAATTCTAAGGTGCAACTACTCTCATTTTGTCAATGTTTGTTCAAGCAACTAGATTTCATTCTTCTTTTGAACAGTACGCTATATATAGACATTTTCTCTTTACTCTTGACACTTCTTTACTTTGTTAATTGGTAATATAATACGAGTGACACTTTATTTTTGCAGTCTTTGCAGGTGTTATTTGCAGGAGAAGCCACACACAGGTCTTTCTTCTCTACAGTTCATGGAGCGTTGCTGAGTGGCTGGAGAGAAGCAGAGCGTCTTACATCTCACTACACTCCTGCCGCCGGGTCATTCTCATCTAAACTATGAAAACTGTCCTCCTGTTCTGAAGAGTGGGAAGGATCGACAGTCATTTTCATGAGTCTGAAGGATTTTGTGCCTTATAATAAGGGGAATAGAAGGAAAATCTGAATGTAATGGCGATTGTAGGCTACTTACGATTGTACTGCATGACAAATGTTTAAAATGCCATACAATTTAATGTACGGTAATCACATTCAGCAAGTGTTGATTTGTGGGTATCTCAGAATTTCAAATAATTTCACTATATGCCTGTACTTTGCACAAATGTTAATTGGTTTTTGTGATCTGAAAATACTTTTATCTGAAAATATTTTTATATTAAACATGCCTTATACTTTATAAAGTTTTCTGTTTTTATAAACTTACAAAATGGAATGAAAAATTTAGGTTTTTCTAATTTAGATAAGGAAGAAACTGTTCTTAAATTGTATGCCTACTTTTCAGTTGTCCAAATGAGACCCTCTAACTTTGCAGGTAAAAACAATAAATATTCTTTGAGCACAGAATTTACGCAGAATTCATATTCTCAATCCCGCCCAGTAGGTGGCAGTATACACATATGTAGTTGCTTCTCAACTCGTTACTAAAGTCACCGAAGAAGACGATTCAGCAACGCAAACATGGCTTATTTTTTCGTCAACAAAAAAAGTTACTTTTCTGAATGCAAATAACTGGTGAGTGGTGTGTCATATGCCCGCAACGGCAACATTTCGTTTTAATTATTACCTAAACAAATCAGCATTAAAAAAGAAATGACATTTTTTTCAGTTTAGTCAATGCAGTGTTTATTTACCATGGGTGTATTTTATTATGGTTGTTTTAGTTTAGCAAGCTATGAAATTGTATTGTGATGATAAGAAGAGAATAATGCAATCTCACAAGTAATTTTGATATAAAAAACAACAACAAATACATCGTTGGACAGAGCATTAATATCTGCCTATTTTGTTATAGTTCTGGTTCAGCCTTTGGAAGAATTCACGTCCAGTCTCAAGAAGAACTCGTTGAATTAGAGCTGGGCATCGAAAGTCAAAGACTTGTTAAAATGGAGCAAGGTTTGCCATCTGCGAAAGCAGTTTCCCAGCACTTTATGAATGGATGCTTAAAAAGCGAAGATGACAGTTCACTGACCTTGCAATCAGATTTCATTAAGTCAGAAATACAAGTTAAAGTGGAACCTGATCAAGATGACTCTTCAATGCTTGATGTGAACGAGCTAGGAACGTTTTCTCGTTCTCAGGGGAATGTTAAAGAGGAGTTTTTGGACCTTGGTCTGCAAATTTTACCAACTGGCCTAATGCCACCAGTTGAGATGGAAGAAGAGCTTGAAATCACAGCGAACACGCACACTTCTCCAGATAAACCTCTGAACAGAAGAACTGATACATCAAGCAAAAGAAAAAAAAGTACAGACAAGAAAAGAACATCAAGAAAAAGAAAATCAACAGAGCCAACAAAACAAATTATACCAACTAAAATGAATTCTGATGTGTCAAGTGACAGAATGAAATCTTTAATAATGCAGGGAAACGCCACACAACATCCAGAGAAAGCAGGTAAAGGCAGAACATCCAACAAACAGCATAAAGAAGAGCGATTTAGTTGTGAAACCTGTGGGAAAGAATTCCAGCGGTCAGATCTTCTCACGGATCATGTGAAAATTCACAGAAGACAGAAACCATATGGTTGTGATCAGTGTGAAATGAAGTTTGCCAAGCCCTCTTATTTGAAAATACACTTGCGTAGACATGCCGGTGACAGGCCTTTTCCATGTAACCAGTGTGAGAAGAGGTTTTTTGACATCTATGACTTAAGGGTGCACCAGAGAGATCACACTGGAGAGAGACCTTATATGTGCTCTGAGTGTGGGAAGAGTTTTAAACGTGTTTACATACTTAACAAACATAAACGGACCCACTCAAAGGAGAGACCTTTCCAGTGCTCTGTGTGTGGTAAAGCATACAGATATGGGTACAGTTACAGATTGCATCTGAAAAACCATCTCGATTAGGGTCCATGATGTGTATCGGCATTTTTCGTAACAGTAAAAGGGTTTAAATTTGTATTCCTTCCTTAAAGGATGAATATTTCCTTATGTAAAGTGGAAAATGTGTTCTAGTATTTGATTTGAGAAGGCTTTTTGACTGAAATCATTTTTTATCTATGCTTTTTATGGTGGTTTGAAAGAATCATCCCATCCCCATGAATGATTTTGTTCCACTCTTGAAGAGTGTATAGTTTATTCCCGTAGATGTCCAGTAATTTATAATAGACAATGCTCTTGCTTATTGCACATATTTAATGTTTTACAAGCGGCTTTCTGTAGCAAGCTTGCATTAAAATGAGAGGATTACAGACTTAAGTCTCAATTCTCTTTCTGACATTTTGTGTTTGAAGAAATGTTTCAGTTGAGAAGAATCAAATGTTGCATAGAGAAGATATCACAAATTGGTATAGAATTAAGTGTTTATGATAAAGTAGCGACACTGTGAAAACAAACCTTTCTTGAGTGAAATAATGATAGAATGATAATGGTTTGGAAATAAAGGTAATCTCGCTATGATGACCCATGTTCTGTACATGTACATGTCTATCTGTACTACTGTTCAAAAAGTTGGGGTTGGTATTTTTGGGGATTTTTTTTAGTTCTTGAATTAATTCTGTAATGCTAACCAAGGCTAAATTTAGCAGCCATTACTCCAGTCTTCAGTGTAACATGATTCTTTAGAAATCATTCTAATATGCTGATTTGCTGCTTAAGAAACATTTCTTATCAATGTTGAAAATTTTATGAAACTGTGATACATTTTCTTAAAAATTTTTGATGACTAGAAAGTTCGAAAGAACAGCATTTTTTAAATTGGAAATCTGTAACAGTGTCTTTTCTGTTAAGATTGATCAGTTCAATGCATCCTTGCTTAAAGTATTCATTTCTTTAAAAAAAAGTCTTACTATCCCCAAATTTTTGAACATTATAAGTGAAAATGTTGTTATCATTTACTCACAACATGAGGGTGTGTAAATGTTGGGGTGAGTTATTCTTTTGCCATTTCTCCACCAGAGGGAGACCAAATGCTGCACATTCTGACCCCACCTGAGTTTTGCTGAGCAAGCAAATGCCCAGTATGCAGCCAGTTTGATTTAACTATTCATATCAAAATGATGACAGCACAAATATTGCATTTTTTTTATATTAAAAATGTCATCTTTTGCAAATTAATAATTTTAGTGTAGAGTCATCAATAGTGTGTTGGATAACATGGATTTATACGGAATAAGAGGAAAGAGAATGTTCTGTGTGCGCTATGGTGGAAGTTCATGTAAGTGAATTACTAAAAGCGTAATTCACATGAATAATACCACTGATGCATATTTGTAACTTTTCTGAAATTTACTGATGACACTACAACTGTTTGTGCTTGTGTGTTTGTATTTTTACAGTTTTGTCTATGGCGTGCCTTAAAAAGCCTGCAGCTGAGGTTACAGATACACTAAGAGAAGAATATGAATCCATTGCTGCCCCTGATTTGGAATCTGAGGTCTCTGATAGTGATGGCCCAGAATGCCACAGTGGCCCAGATTTGACAGAATGTCAGAAAACTGTCCTCACAGACTTCGAGTTCTCATCTGAGGAATCTAGTGACGAGGAGAGTGAAGATCGCTTGAGTCGATGGAGCAAAGGAGACTCTTATTGGAGCAAATATCCTCCTCAAAGTGAAACCATGACATCCTCACAGAGCTGTCCAGGTCCTGGACCAGGGTCTTCAGTAGAGACACCTAAAGATGCCTGGGAACTTTTCATGAGCGAAAACATCATTGATGCGATCCTGCAATGCACCAACTTAGGTGGACTGAGAGCAGCATTAGCAAAAGGCAAAGTGTGGCAAAAGATCACTAAAGAAGAGCTAAAAGCCTTTATTGGTCTGAGCCTTCTCATTGGTGTGGAGAGAAGTTGTGATGTCCCAATCCGGGAACTGTTTATGGATCCGTTACAGAACCCACTATATAGAGCTACCATGTCTGTTGGTAGATATCAAGACCTTCACAGATTCCTGCAATTTGATAACAAGAAAACCAGAGTGGCAAGAGAGGCATCAGACCACATGGCAGCCTTCCGAAATGTGTGGGACCTGTTCCTGATCAACTGCAGGAAAAGGTTTATCCCTAGGGATTGTGTCACTGTGGGTGAGCAGCTTGTGCCATTCCAGGGAAGATGTAAGTTTCTGCAACACGTGCCAAGCCGCCCTACCAAGAGTGGCATAAAAATCTTTTGGATGTGCGATACCGAGGTCCCCTACGCCATTGATGGGGTCATCTACACAGGCAGACAGCCAGGAGAGGAGACTGAGGAGAACCTTGCAGTGAACACAGTCCTGAGGTTGTCCAATGGGCTTCAGCAAAAAGGTAAACATTTTCAACAAAGATTACCACTAGTAGTATATTTTCCATTTGAGACACTTTGGGTTAACTATCTTCCTTAAAAGCACACTGTAAAAAAAAATCTGTAGTTTTTACAAAATAATTTTGGCAGCTGTGGTTGCCAGAATAATTTTGTAAAAAATACAGAAAAACTGTAAACACATTTACGGCCAAAAACTGTATATTTTACAGTATAAAACTGTAATTTACAAACAAGAAAATTTGAATGTAAACCAGTAAATTCAACAATGCACACTGCTATTAAAATCTGTTTTGTACCTTTAACATAAACTGACAACCACCATAATAATGCAGGTGGTAAAAGAGAAAGCCACATAAAGAATCAAAGCTCATCACAAGTAGCTTCGCCACAAGCAGAAGTATATACTAATATATAGAAGGTGCACAGAGTCATTCATGCAAACACAAAACACCATCATGGTAACACACATGATACTTAAATAATGCATTAAACAACAGAAGATGTAACATAAAGCCCAAATATACATAACTAATAACAAAAACTATTAAAAAAACATGATTATTTAAACAAAATACTTTAAAATGTGGAGGGTCATGCAGGGAATTCTGGGAATATCAGTTTACAGTTTTTGACTGTAAATTATACATTGATTTGTTATTTTTACTTCTAAAAACTGTAAAATTAACAGCATTTTACTGTAAAATTACATGAAATGTCTGGTTAGATATTTTACAGTTTTTCCCTGTATATAGTACGGGAACTTACTGTTAACCTATTAACAGTTTTTTTCCGTAGCGTTTTTACAAAATTTTACAGTTAAAATTACACTTATTTTTTACAGTGCACACATAGTTTTATAGTTTACTTCTTGTAGGGATCAAACCAGCAGCCTTCTTGATACCAGCCCTCAGCCACAAACACTGTGCCAGACCATCATTGTTGTTGTTACCTAATGACCTTGCCTTTTGTGTTTGTTTCTCATGATAGATCTCAACATTACAATGGACAGCTACTTCACCAGTGTCCCTCTGGCAGAGAAGCTTTTCGAGAAAAGCTTGACCATGGTTGGGGCCCTTCGCCATAAGAATCCACATGTGCCGCCGATTATGAAGCCATCCAAGTTACGAGCACTACATACCTCTGAGTTTGGTTTTTGTGGCACAGTATTCATGGTGAGCTATGTGCCAAAACTAAAAAAGGCAGTGATTCTGTTGAGTACAATGCATACCAGCGATGCGTTGAATGAAACGAGTGCTAAAAACAAGCCAGAGGTCATTCAGTACTACAACCGCACCAAAGGAGGAGTCAGCAGTGTTAAGCTAATGGCTGAAAATTATACTTGCAAGCGGCAAACAAAGAGATGGCCTATGCTGCTTTGGTATAACATGTTGGATATTGCCATTGTAAACTCCTACTCCATTTTCATTGCTCAGCACCCAAGCTTCATGGGAGGTGGTCATAACACCCAGCGCTTGTTCATAAAAGAGCTAGTGAAAGAGCTTGTAATGCCTCAGATACATAGGCGCAGAGAAGAAAGCCCTGGATTATCCATGATCATCCTTGAGGCCATGGACAGATGTGGGATGCCCACATCATTGTCAGCTGTCTATTCCGAGCTCCAAGAACAGAGCTGTCAGAACAGAATAAGAAAAAGATGTTATTACTGTCCATCTGGAAGAGACAGAAAAGTGAGCAAGTTCTGCAGTGAATGCAGTCGCCCTGTCTGCAAAGATCACAGTCACATGTTGGTGATTTGCTACCGGTGCATGCCTTAAGTCCCATACAGAAACAGTTTCTATATTTCTATTCTGCAGTGATAATGACTGTTCTGCTGACAAGTTTGATTTCTAAAGGAAATCACTGTTGTTTAAAAGATTTAGTGTGTATTGTAAATATGGTTTGAATTGATTGAATCTTTGATTAATTATCTTTAATTGTACAATGTAAATTTGACATCCATGTTTTAGATATAATGTTAAATTCAAAGATATTTTTTCAGTTTTATGTATTAAACTTGAACATTTTGACTTATAAAAAAAATGTATTAGTTACTAAACATGTATACATTTATATGAATGCTGTGCATCTAATCAAATCCCAGATACATTCTTGGGGGTAATGTTACCTGTTCAATTTAGATCAGTCAGGTGAATGAAGTGTTCAAATGTGCCTGCAGAAAGGCAAGTGAGTATATTAACAACACCACAAGGTGGCGCACTAATCAGTTTGAGATTGTAGGCCAGAATACCTCAGGTGAGTTAATAAATTGTTGTTTTGTTGGTTTGCTGTGTGAGAATCCTTTAGATTATTTAAAAACCCATCTGGTCCAGCAAAATGCAGCCGTTATGTTCTGGGTGTATTTATTTCTTCTTCTTAGTGAGCCTTTTATTTTCTTTACCGCTTTTGCTTAAATATGATTGATTAAATTGAAAACAAATGTTCATTCAATAAACTAATACCTGATGTGATTGGTCTTTTTCCAGGTGTTTTTAAGAAACGTTTCCCTGGGATCTGTTTGTGGGTCATCACTTAAGAATCTCACCCCTGTTGTTAAATAAACAAACCCATTTGCTTACATCAGCCTATTGGTTTCCTTAAGGTGTTTAGTTTCACAAATACCACTAAACTCTTCCATGTGAACTGGTGTCAGTTAAGTTGTTTTGTAGGGGGGATTTTCTAAAGCGTGTTAGTGGTTTTCTTTACCCTTACATTAAGTATGGTAGTAAAATACTTAAAGTATCATTAAACGACACTATTTAAATGCTTATAAAATAGATTGTACTTTGCTATAACTGCTCTGCAGGACCTGCATTTTAGACATGATCTCGTTTAAAATAATTTTAAGCTATATGAAATCACGAACTAAGCTATTTTTCAAATAGTTGTGTTTTTAAATACGTTCCGTGATCAATATGAATATTCTGTTGAAATTAACTAGTAGCCAATAATCAACAGGTTGTCGCTATATACAAGCCCGTATGTTAAACAGCGCGTGTTGATTGGCCGTGTGAGACAATGACGCGCGCAGACGCTACATGAATATTCAATGAGTTCCTTGCTGTTACAGTGCAAATAAAACGAGATAACGGGCCGTGGGCAGCGGGCTAAAACTTTTTATTCTGACATATCAGAGCAATGACTTTTGTGTAATTATAAACCTGGGACACGGATCCCAGCGAAGGAATAGGGTCTGTGCTGGAAGAAGAGAGAGAAGCGCTGATTTTTTGGGTGTGGAAAACCGGACGGCGCATTCAGTTTGCCTTTTTCAAAAGTAACAGTGGAAGAGTGAAAGTTACAGTAACAACATGAGCTTGCTGTCTGCTATAGACACCAGTACCTCAGTGTACCAGCCTGCACAGCTTCTCAACTGGGTTTACCTTTCTTTACAAGACACGCATCAGACGAGTGCCTTCGATGCCTTCCGACCCGAGCCCAACTCTTCCCATCCGGACCTGAACTACAGCAAAACTCCTGCCAATGACCTGAGCTCCTCTCTCAACTCCAACTATCTCAACAACTTCTTTCAGCTACAGAGGAATGAGGTAACTCGTTTTCTGTTCTCCTACAGATGATTTTTTGGGGGGGAAATAATTTCGTGGAGATAACGGTCCCTGCCGACTGGAATAAGATTTATTATGTAAAGCGCAGTTGACTATGTATCTAATGTAGCGCGCGTCTAGTCTGGCTACATTTGTACAATACACAAATGCTTTAGGAGACTTACATAATCTTTTAATCTCTGGAAACTTGAAACAATAATTTTGTAATATTTTTTTCATTTCTATCGTGTAATAATAATGAATCGTATTTATATATTTTATTGCAATACTATGCAAATAATTTATAGTTTCAAGGATCATTAAAATCGTGCCAGCGTGCAGCTTTGCACACTCTGTTTATTGTATTTTGTAACAGCACGTGTACAGCCAAATGAGGCAGTCATACATGAAAGTTTCTTATTTTGATCATAAGACTACTTGCATTTAATTTGTGATGATTGCTTACTGATCTCAGGCCTAAAATGTGTGCTGCCATAATTGAGTTTGGGATAATCAAAAATGATGCTCCTTTCTGAGGTTGTAATAGTTGCCGAAGACATATAACACTTCAATCTGTATTATTATTATCGCATAAAGAAATATGTTATTCAGCGATCCTCTCTGAATAACTAGATTTGATTGTGTTATCAAAAAATAGATTGTGCCAATTTATGAGAAGAAATTTTTAAGGAAAATTCATAAATTAGTATGTTTGTATTTAAGTGTTTTATAGTTCAAAAGTTATTTCAAGATTCAAGTGAGATTAATGTAGGCCTACTTTTGGGAACTACTTATACTGCTATATTTATATTTCCTGGAAATATTGTCATGAAACGGATAAGAAGAAACAAATATGGTTTTCACTTATCATTAAAATAAGGAATGCTTTTCTAATTAAATATAATAGTTATGACAATTTGCATGGTAAAGGAGAGCACATGGAACTAAAAGTCTATTGAATCCTTTTGTACTCTTCCATTTATTTTTCTAAATGAGAGAGTTACTTCCAGAAGCTTGAACATATGAATGCATTTTCTTTTTAATGATGTAATGACAGTGTTGTGGCTGAGACAGAGGTAAAGTGTTGATGTTTAGTGGAAAGTTTGAGGAAGGGCAAAACTTTTTTAATAAAAACATTATGACAAGTTCTCTCTCTTTTTCTCCCTCCCCCTCTTTAGTTTTCTCCCCCTTTCTTTTTTTCCTCTCTCTTTTCTTTTTCTCATATGTGGAGGGTTAAGAATGCTTTTAAAAAATTCCATATTACACAAAGAGCTTTTTATTCTTCCTCTTGTGAGGCCAGAAATCAATCTGTTAAATATTTACAACTAAGGAAGAAGGTTGGAACTAGAATTCTAGATTTTTTAATTATCTTTGTTTGTATAACTTACCAAATTGTCTACACGTTTCTTAGAAAGTGTTAACTGGGATTGTGTGTGTTAGTGGTGAATGGCAGTAGTTAGAAGTGACCCCCTGACTGGCTCTCCAGCTGTGTGAAGGGGTGAGGAGAGATGTCCTCCACTGGTGTAAATGTGTGTGAGAGCCGTATCCCTCAGGAGACACATAACCAAATTCCTACAATCAGCTACAATCAATATTGCGGTTGCATTATTACATTGACAATCGATAATAAGTGCATGAATGCATTCAGACATAACAGCTGATCATCTTAATTTTTATGATGTTTAAAAATTGACATTTAAAACATGGCTGTGCGGTTTGTTTGTTTTTTTGTTTACACAGAACTCCATAAATTTCCATTGCCTTTTCATATACTTCTTGTTGATCTTAGACTTCACTGCTGGTCATAACGCAGAATAACAGTGTAGCTGGATGCTTAGTTTCTCATGACACAACTTTTTATAGGCCTAATATTTTTTGAAAATAAACACGTCTAAAGATTTCTCATAAGAACTCATAATCTTTTGTCAGACACACTCAGTTCTAAGTTTTGAATTTAGGAGGAATTGGTTTGTGTGTTTCTCATGAATTTCTCTCACAGAGAATGAATATCAGCTGGATGTGACTGGCCAGGATGGAAAATGAACGTCACATGTACAGCTATAAAAGAAAGATCTAAAAAAGCTTATTTGCTGCATTCAGAGTTGATCTAACTGATGAAAACAGACTCGTCTGAGAGATACGTGCAGAAACTGTTTATTGTCCTGGCTTGCTGAGAACTAGATGACAGTTATCTGGACTTGCCAAGTATAAAGTTTCAGGACTGTTCAACATGAGACTTCAACAATAACATAACCTTCCAAAGCATAACCAGAGGAAGACATCACTCAAGCAACATCTTCCCATCCAAACCGTCTGTAGCGTGTGTTTGATTATCTACTGTACTCTCTGTGGTTAAATGGCAATCTGATTTGCAAATCTTAGACTCATGTACTTATCAATGGCTTTAGTGAATTATGTCGCCCCAATTTAGGAACTGATCCTGAATTAGGAATCTCATTTATTCGATAATATGCCTAATAGAGTCAAGTTCCACATAATTGAGGACATTGTTTTTGATTATGCACTTAATCATATTTTACATTTTTCTTACAGCTTTAGCCTATACTGTATTTAAGAGCAGCATATTATGACATTGTATGAAGACATAGTGTGCTTCAGTTTCGTGTTCACATTGGGATAAGCTAATTTTTGGATTGTGGATGTCCTGTTATGCTTTGCAGGCCCTGAATAATGGTTTATACAAAAGTGTGTCACCGTACGGCTCTCTTAATAACATAGTGGACGGGCTGAACTCTCTAACGGACCACTTCTCCGACCTCTCCCTGTCCTCTGAGCCACGCAAGCCCAGCAAGAGACCTCCACCAAACTACCTGTGCCATCTCTGCTTCAACAAGGGACACTATATCAAAGACTGCCCGCAGGTAAGCAGCCAACGAACTCTGCGCACCCTGGGGAGATAGAAAGAGAGACATGTTGCTTAATTGACCTACTTGTCAAACAGACATCTCTCTGTCTTTTTAGTCATGTGTATCAAGTTAATTCAGAGAGCTACTGTGCTGAGCATTGAGAGGTTACACCAGGTCACTGAACAATCTTTTTTTAAACATGAATATCATCTGATTTTCTTTCTTTTTTTAAAATCTAACTTTCTCTGGCGTCTGACAGTGACATTAGTCGATAATAACAAAAACATTAACATCAGGGATATCACACATAAAATGTGTTCAGCAGGAAATGAGGCATACAGTCATTTTCAGAAATAGTCTCTTAGCCACATGTGTTTCGCAGGTGATATTAGCCATTGTTGTTCTAGCAAATGTAACTAAAAGCTTCATAAAGCAGTGGTTTTGTGTAGATGCATGACAATATGTTTACA